GAGAGAGAGAGGGGAAGACTGACAAACACTCAACTTCTGCTCCTACTCTTTATAGCCGACTGTGGCTTTCATTTCCGGCTAGCAGCAACTGCCATGCAACTTCCTGCTTTGGCGTTCGCTTTGGCTAATGTGATTGCAAAATGGCGTGCATCCGGTTGCTGCTGCTGCTGCTGCTGCTGTCGCTGCAGTTGACTCCTTCAAGCTTTAGCCAAAGCCAAAAGCCACTTACCAATTGATTTTCAACTGCACGTACAAAGACAAAGAACCAATTTATTGCCAGTTGTACCCGAGGGAGTGCTAACTAATGCTTGCGTCTTGTCTTTGGCTTTGGTAATAAACATTTCAGAGATTAATTGTTTGCATAATCAGTCGTTGAGGGTTGGTTGGCCACCCCGAAAGCTACTGATTTACGTGTCGTATACGCAATATTTATGGCACATTCCATTTAATTGTGCGTTAGAATATTTACGCACACTTCTAGCCAAAAGCCTAGACACTTGAATTATTAGCAGACATTAATTTTTCTCCACGTTCTGCCTTTGAAAAGGCTTAGCCAAGCATTAGGCATTAGTTGGAGCGCTGGGACTTTTGCTCTTTCTGACACTTGCCGTTGATTGACCGTATAACTTCAGTTAGGTATAAAGCTTTGACTGAGGGCAGCTTTGCGGTTTATGTATTTATGTTGTGGGTCGACAGCGTACTTAAGTAGGTGAAAAATGTTTAAGGGCGTCAGGGCGAGTGTCATAGCTCTTGATAAGCACACTTTGGTTACCTTGGGGCATAGTTTTTGCGCCAACAGATAATGACAAGGGTTAAGATATGCCGCTTATAAATGAACGAAATTCAGCTTGGCTTTACTTATTTTTCATTTGTGTGTAAAAGGCAAAGATTGTATTTATTTAAAACATATTATAAAAGAAGAAAACTCCACCAAGTGGCTGGGTCTAATAATAAAATGCCTTACTTCGCCTTACTTTCTTTTTTCATAAATTTGTAATTTTTTGCTGCGTGCATTATAATTACTGCCTAATTTGAGCCGGTGACTTCCCACTTGCTGGTCTGACGCTCAGCCACGTAGTCATTTTCACCCATTTGAAGATTGAGCTCCCCTTTGCTTTAGATAGCTTTAAATATAAACTTGGCTTCAGTATGACTTTGATTTAACATTGATAATTTAAGATCCCTTCAAAATTTCAGAAGTTATAGATTTTAAGGCAACTCTGTTGTCGAAAAATTTAATTATTTTGCTTTTATTAAAGAGTGGTTCTTGGATTTTAATATGATCATAATCTGTTTTTTTCCTTCTTTAAATAAAATAACTGAATATAATGTGCCGCATGGCACAGTTAAATTCAACTTCCGGAGCATACTATATGCTCGCTAAGCTCACTGTCAACAACAAACACTAGAATTAAATACATTTAAATATGCCGCGAGTACGCCCGCTAACCGCAAAGCCTGTTACCAAATCGACCAAAGAGCGGCAGCTGGCCAGCTGGCTGGCTGTCTGTTCGGTTGGCCAAATTAACCAAATCAGCTGAAAGGCACACAATAAATGGGCTTAAAATCGCAACTTAATCAATGGGCCCAAGCAATTGGCATGCGACAAATTTTAATTTGGATAATTAAAGCGCGAAAAATCAGCGGGGCGCGGCCGGGCGGTTGGTTCGCATACAAAATGGCAATCAAATGAAATAAATGAGAAGCGCTAATAAATGGTTTAACGCGGCGTATGCGCAATGTGGTTGATTCACAGCATTTGAGCATTTTAGCCAGCTGCATTTACAATTCGGCCCGGATAATTAACTGCCTGGCGCATAATTAAAATTCGTACATTTTACTGTCGAATGAACGGGCGGCATGAACCAGACAAGGTGCATTGTTTAAGCCCGACTAACCGAACCGGCTCACATGTCAGCTAACAATGAATAAGCTACCACCCCCCCGCCCTTCCCACATACACGCCCCCTTTACTAACAACTAGGCTCAGCTCATTTGTTGACTGACTTTAGCGCTTGTTATTAGTTGGCCGTGGTGACCATTAGAGCCAAGTCGTGTGAGTGATGCATATCACATATCACAAGTGGGTGTGCGTGCGTGCGTGCATGTACGTGTGTGCGTGTGTGTGTGTGTGTGGGGGTGTGTGCTTGCACTATTTGCGGTTTTAATTATGCACCCAGTATGGACACAATGGCACAATGAGTCGCATGCGAGCTGCAGCTGCAAAATGATTGAAACAAATGTTGCAGGCTAGCCAATAATCACGGACAAATACCCTATGATTCTAAATGAAAAGAGTGCATGTTGTTTTTAAATAACACATAAGAAAAAGAGTGAGAAAATTAAACAACTTATACTAATATAAGTGACAATCTATGCTTAAGATATTTTATGATTCTATCATAACAATTTGCAGGGTACTAAATTTTATATGCGAGCTCAACAATGTGACTGCCCTGTTGTACTAGTTGGAAAATTCGGCCAGCTTGATTAATGGGAGGATAAGCCAGCTGCGGGTGGTCGAAAAATCTGCTGACGAATATTATTGAAAGTGGGCGCCGACTGATAACCGAAATATTTAGCCAAGCGCAAAATTTTTCATTATGATTGCGCATTTCGCACAGGAAATACAATGGCAGCCAGTGCAATTGCAATTCCATATCCGCAAAAGCGCAGTTTTTCCATAGAACATTCAGCAAATATAGAAGAAAATTGCAAAAGAGAGAAATGTAAAATAAATGAAAAGCAACTGAAAAGCCGCCCGAATGCAATTAGAAAAGAAAACTAAATTAAATGGAAAGAAAAGAAAATTTATAAAAAAAATAACGATCGGCTTGAAGACTTCATAAGAAACCTGATGTATATATGATGTATGCATACCACGAAACATTTGAAAAATGTTTTAAAATATGTTCAAAGAAAGAAAGAAGAGAAAATCTAAAATATTTTTCAAAAAAGGAACCTCTTAAGCCATTTTAAAGCATTTCCCAAGTAGCTTTAAGTATTAAACTTTAGCCGAATATGTAAATATAAAATATTTGTAGATATTTTTCTGCAATTTTAAAATATGGAAAATCTATGCAAATCTTTCTAAGCCTCGATATCATGACATGCCTGCTAGGCTCCGCATCCCTTAAATCTATTTAATGCCAATCAGTCAGAATTTGGTGTTCGTTTTGACATTCCAATTGTGCTGCTGCCTTTGCCTTTGGCGAAGTCCAATTTTATAAAGCGTGTTTTTTTTTATCCTCATATTTTTCTCTTTTCTACATTTTCAATAAATTTTCATGCGCCAATGGCGTCAAATAGCTCTCGGCGCCTCACATACAGCCTCCCATTTGGCCATCTCTTGTGCTGTGGAAATGTCATGTCTATGTCAAATAAAAAAGTGAAAATAAATTGTGATAAAAATAAAATTGTATTGTGTTGACTTGCATTTGACAACTTAGTGAATTTTCCGCCCATTTCGTGGGTGGCGTTGCGCCAATGTAATGACATTTTCAAGTAATTCATCAGCATAAATCATTTTTGCGCGTTGAGGCCGCCAAGTGGCGCCCTCTAGCGTTGAGCGCGGCAGGCACTCAGTTTAACCCTAATACGTGCTGAATTTGTACGCGGTTTATGAGAAAAGTTTTGCAGCCAAACTGCCGAAACGAAGAGCACAAAAAAAATGGCCGCTACGTTTCGAGCCGAAAAAAAAAAAAATTAAATGAAACAGAAAGAGGCAAACACACGTCCTGAACGCTGGCCAGGCGGCTGAAACATAATTTGGACAATGTGCAAGTTTCTGGCTCATGGAATATGCTTGCTCGACGGCAAAGAACTTTTATTTTTATGTGGGGCCGAGCAACAACATGAGGAAAAACAATATTTCGAACAATCTGGCAACACATGAAGTGCTGCAGAGTTTCCCCCTCTCGTACAGGAAGTATGTGTAGATTTTACTTGTAATTTGCTTTTATGCTTTATCGCTCGCTTGATTTTTATTATGATTATTATCGTGGGAATTACGCAGCAAGTTTTAGGGTCCTTATTTCAGAGCTTTTCCTCTCTTATTATTTTTCTGTTTGTTTGTTGTTTTCGGCCCCTGGAGGCCAAAGATTATATTCGAGTGTTGTTTGTGTGAAATTTTCTAGTGATTTATTGGGTCAGCGTTAGATTTGCTGCTGCTGTTTGTACTTATATTTTTGATGTGCCTTTGATGGCTTAAGCCTGGCAGCTTGTTTGTTGATAAAGAGCAAAAACCAATTGATTGGACGCTCTGACAGCCTCCGAGTGTTGAGTTCAATAGATTAACTAGGCAAAGGTAATCACAAAAGGCAAAGGCTGGGATATACTTAATAATCTGCTTATATCTAAAACTCACGCACAACTTAATAATCTATATTCAGATAGTCGAGAGTCTTTGAACCATTGGAAAACTTACCTGAAAAGAGAGAGCGAAGGAAGGAAAAATAATTAGTAATGCATTTATCAAAAGTAAAACTGAATTTTTGTAAATTATGTGTACTAGTAATAAAACAGACTTTAGTCGAAAGTGCTCGACTTGCATATACCCTGTAATCAGTTCTCAAACACAAATAGCGCACTCAGTATAATGTTTATGCTTATGTCGAGAGTCTAAACGACGAGAATCTAAAGTGCAGGACTTTAAGCTACCCTCTAATAAAATCTAAAGAACCCAAGCCTTAAAATATAGATCTGTTAGCTAACTATATGTTGAATACGTGAACTCCTGAGCTTTCCAAAATTTATTACTTTAATTATTTAACACAAAAATTAAACAAATAAATATTTTAAACAAAATTAAATCTATTGAAATTTGTTAAAAAATAAATTATTACATTTAAAAATAAATTTGATAATGAATATCTTAAAAACATCGAAATTGAATTTGGTTGTTAAATCTATTTTATTTTAAATAAATATAAAATAATAAAATAGAAATTTATTATTTAAAACTTTGAAATATGAAAAAAATTATAATAAATAAAAAACAATCATATTTATTTTTATTCAAAATTACTTAGGAAAAGAGGTTAAGCAAGTAAAAGGGAGCAGGCAGTAACTGGAGTTGCGCCGAAAATTAATTTAATATTTTCGCAATTCAATCGAAGTTGGAAAATTATGACGCCATTTAATCTCAATGTTAATAATATTATAGTGACCTATGAAAAAAAAAGAATCAAAGTGAGCGAAACCTGAATGCCAGAAAAAGACAAGCATATATATATATATACCGTTGTTGCAGGAGTTGTTGCCACAGCTGTTGTTGCTGTCGTTGGTGTTGTTGCCGTCGTTGGTGTTGTTGAAGTCTCTGTTATTGTTGTTGGAGTTGTAAGAGCAGGTGTAGTTATAGTTGTTATTGTAGGTGAAGATGCTGTAGTTATTGTTGTTATTGCTGGTGTAGTTGGCGAATCTGTTGTAAATGCTGTTGGTGTTGGAGTCTCTGTTATTGTTGTTGGTGTTGTTGGAGTCTCTGTGACTGTTGTCGGAGTTGTAAGAGCAGGTGTAGTTATAGTTGGTATTGTTGGAGTTGGTGTGGTTATTGTTGTTATTGCCGGTACAGTTGGAGAATCTGTTGAAATTGTTATTTGTGTTGTTGGAGTCTCTGTTGTTATTGTTGTTGGAGCAAGTGTTGTTATTGTCGTTGGGGTTGTAAGAGCTGCTGTAGTTGTTATTGTTGGTGTAGTTGGAGAATCAGTTAATGTTGTTGGTGTAGTTACAGTCTCGGTTGTTATTGTTGTTGGAGTCTCTGTTGTTATTGTTGTTGCAGCTGGGGTGGTTGGAGATCCTGTTGTTATAGTTGTTAATGGATCCGTTGTTATTGTCGTTGCTTCAGGTGTTGTTGCAGTTGTTGCATCAGTTGCGCCGGACACATCGGTTACAGCTCGTGCCACACGAAGAAGACGAATCAGGCTCAAGCCTAGATTCTTGTCTAGATCGTAGGTATTCGCTGCGCTCAGGACGAGGCATGCGATGAAGCCGAAACGTAGTGCGAACATGTCAAGAAGTTAAGTTTGACTCTGAGACTGTGCTGTCTGACAGACAAACCCATGACTTTTATGATCGCCAAGAACAAAGGCTTTGACAATATATATAATTGACTATGATTCGCTCCGAACGCTATGTGGTGTTCCTATTGAAACGTGTCTCTCAAATTGAGTTGCTTAACTTTAATAATTCTTGTACTTTCTCTTGGGAAAATATGTGCCATCAGTCGAAACGTGCTTAGTGAGTGTTTTTTTTTTCTATATATTATATATAATATATTTTATAATATATTATAATAATATCTATAATATTATGAGCTCATGCTATTTTTTTAAGTAAATTCTAGAAATCTTTTGCATTAAGTAATCAACTGAGAAAGCTGCAAGTATTGCAGACAAAACAAACCTAGGCAACATTCATTCTCACACTTCTGTTTATCAAAGTAAAAGTCCGTTTTTTGAATAAAGCATTTACATAATTTGTAATTTAATTATTAATAATTAATTATTTGTATTCTTAACATTTTTAAATTTGTTGCCTCTAAAGTTAGTTTGAACCTTTTTTTATTAATTACAATTTTTATTTGTGTTGTAATATTTTTATTTTATTTTATTTCTCAAAAAGTTATTTATTTTTATTTTTTAGTTCGAAAATCGAAGAGAATTTCTAGGAATTTAAACAGATTTTTATGAAAAATATTTTTACAGATGTCGCATTTTCGTTCACGTTTTAAATTTGAAGTTTATTTATTTTGGTTTGAAATTTCCTCAAGAGCTGTTTGTTATCCTTTTCCTCTTAAAAATCATATCGTTTATTTCAAAGTGCATCTAATCGATTTCTGGTGTGGCCAGAGCTTAGTTTTCCAGCAACTCAATAGAGCCTTTTTGTTGTGGCAATTGCCATGCAAAAAGCGTAGGCGAAAACCACTAAAACCACAAAAGGCTCAAAACCGTAAGTAAAACAAAAAAACAAAACAAACTTCTGCTGGGACGGCACAACTAGCGGACATGTGAACGTTGTTTAGCACTGGCAAAAGTGGTTCCAGTTCGACGGAAGCCGAGTGTGTGTGAAAGGCAAATGTGTGTGCGGGTGTGTGTGTGAGTGTGTGTGTGGCATGCAAAAAGCACAGCCAACACAGTGTGGAAGCAGCAGGCGAACTGCTGCAGCGGAGCTTGCCACACAAAGGGGCCACTAAAGAGCTGCCTGCACAAACACACAAAACGCGTGTGCCGAGGTGAAGCTGTGTGTGTGTGTGTGTATTTAACAGGAAAGTCAAGCACTAGTGATATGCACAGCACAAAATCCAAATTTAATGACCAAGTAAAATAGACACCAAAGTCGTAGTGAAGCGGCAGCTGCAGCAAGTGCCACGTGTGAGCGTGCGTGGGAGTGTTTGAGGCGTGGCACTAATGTTGGTTGAATGTTTGCGTTTGGCTCGACTCACGCTTTGTTATCGACATGCGTCCGTTTCTCGTGCTTTGCTTTTTTTTTTGCAATTGGATATGCGCCTTTTTGTGCCCCACGGCTCTGTTAATGTTGACAATGCGCAGCCAAGGACATGACACGTGGCATCAAGCGGGCACAGCGTTGAGGGGGGGAACGACAGAGACGGCGCCTCAAAAGCTTGCCAGGCTGCCCTGTACCGGCCCTGCTGTCTAACTGGGCATGCTGTCCATGTTGATGGAGTGTTGTCATGGCGCATCGTTAACTTTGCAACTAAGTTGAACACACACACACACACACACACACACCTATACAATATAGCACACATACAGCGTGTGGCTTTCAGTCCTTTCGGCCGCTGGCAAAAGCCAAATGACATTGACATCGACATCTCGACATCGCCATCGACATCTCGACATGGACATGCAACATCATCAGCATCCACATTCACATTGTGCCGGAACGGGGCGGGGCGGGGAAACTTCTGCTGCTTCTTCTGCTCGGTGCCCCTTTCAGCCTCTCTTCTCCCTACACCCTTCCTCACCTAGCGTCGCATCGTACACATTATGGCAAATTATGACATTGACAATGCCCTGGCAATTCCACCTGGCCATAACGCGTCGTAGCTTTCCTGCCCCAGCCCTACCCCTCGCCCACCCTTCCGCTCCTTCCACCCTTCCATCATAAAGGTGTCACATTTCTTAACATGACCCCGTTGCCTGCCATCATTTTGCATGCAATTTGTTGCGGCATGCCACATACATTTCCGTCACATCTAAATAAATATTTCATGAATACACGAGAGCTAACACACAAACAGAAAAACAAAAGAAGCAAGAAAACTTGTGCTTAAACTTAAAGCCAAGTCGGGGCAAAATATTTAAGTAAAAATAAGTTCGACATCCATTAGTAAATTAGAATAATTCTCTTCAGGAAAAACAAACTGATCCTCACATGAGAACGATATTAATCTTAAGGAAAGCCAAAGCCGAGGCTTTGGACTTATGAGAAACTTAAGAATGAAATATATTGAAAGTTGTTATCTGACAGATTGTTGCTTGCCGCCAGCTTCTAAATTACAAAAGGAATACAAATAATTTCCGCTAAGCCCAAGTCAAGTGTGGAAACCAAAAAGAGCTGGTAATGTTGTCAAATCTAGCATTAACTGAAATACCCTAACCAAGTAAGAGATTCCCCTTTCGCGCACTTTCGCACTGGAGGAGTTGAGCAAGTTAAAAAAAAAAAAAAAGAGCAAAATGTGCTGCATACTTAGCAGCGCGGCTGTCACTTGTTCTTGCTGTCGTTTTTGCTGCTGCTGCTGCTTGTGGCATGCCCCACTTGCTGCTGGGGCAGTTGTTAAGTTTTATTTTGATTACAAATGCGTTGGTTGTTTATGCGCTGCACACAACTCAAATAAATACCATAAAATAAAAGCATGCAGAACAAAAACTCAAGTATAAAAATGTTGTTAAAATCAAGCAAAAAGATTTTCGCAGAACTTTTGTGTTTGGCCGGCCACGTTTTTAGTTTTGTTTCTATTTCAGTTGCTGTTTTCCTTTTTGTTTTGCATTACAAATGACCTTTTTTTTTTTGTGTATTACGTGCGAGCATTTTAACATTTCAACATTTTCATTGCACCCGAGCTGATGAAATTTATGTGCATATATTTTTGTTCCTGGCGCGTTCATTCATGCGTTTCGGGTCGAAATTCAGGCTACATAAAGCCCAGTCCAGACGGACGCGTTGCAGAAGCAGAAACAGCAGTTGATTTCGTGATTCATGCATAATTACGAGCGTAGTAGAGTATATCTATATGTATTCATAGAACGTCTATTCTATATACCAGGCATATAAATCAACAGAAACAACGCACAAATGTCACAAATTTGATATGATTGTCATACTGAGCTCCATTATATATATATATGTATATAAAGCCCTGTCTAAGGGATTAGGTTGCATAAGAGCCATCAAAAGTGCATTTCATTTAGATATTTATGTAATTTCATTTGCATTAATATGCATACAAATATTGACAAGAGCAAACATAAGTCAGCTATGAATTCTATATATAGTATATGCATATGATATTCATTTTGGCACAAATAAACATAATCTCACATGCTTTTAGAGAATTTTTAAGAGATGTTTCGGAGATATATATACTTTTTTTTATTTTAGCAAATTAAGCCCCGAACTTCGAGCTAGCTTATAAATAATTTTCGTTTTATTTTTTTTATTTTATAAATCTTAGTGTAGCTGGCTTGAAATAATCTCAAACTAAAATATATATTTCATTCCTTTTGAATTAAAAAAAAAATTGTATATTTTTTAAATACGTGTAAGATGTACATGCAGTTCAGAAGTAATCAAAGCTCAGAGCCAGTTCTCTAGCATAAAATATAGAATTCGCCCGGTGAATACTCGACAAGCGAACGCAGTTGAACTTAAGGAAAATGCGTCAAGTAAACCCAATACAAATGGATGTATACTTGAAATGATATTTACACATTTCAAGATCTGCAAATCAGTTAACCAAGATTCTTTTATGCAGCTAGTAAACCAAGCATAGCTTTGTATAGATTTAAAATTTATTAACATTTGACGAGGTACCTCTTGCTTAAGTCTATATAAGTAAGTATAGACTGCAACGTACTTCTTTGATATGCACAATGAATATATATAACATATTCTGTATGTATGTTCTATATAAGCCGTATACTCTATAGATACTCTATATAGAGTATAGACAATGTATCTTCTATACTATATTCCATACTTATCTGACACATGCACAATGGAGCACATTTTATACAATACGCACAGCTGGAAGTCTGGCTTAACTTTATCGCTTAACTCGCAAATTGTCATTTGTGCAGTTTTTTTTTTTTTTTTTGGGTAACTATTCATTCAACTAGACGGACGTTTAGAGAAATTTTGAGTATGTTCTTTAATTCCGTTAGCAAAGTTTTTTGCACGGGAAACGCTTTTTTAGGGGGAAGGTTGGGCGCAACGCACGAGAAAACTTTTGGCATTAAAAGCGTGCCGCAACTGCCCCTTCGCAGTGTTAATGCTTAAAGTGTAAGCGGTCAAAATTCAATTAAAATCAAATGTGTGGCACAGCTATTGTTGCGCTTAACTTTATGTGCAAAGTTTTTTTTGGGTTGAGGGTCAATTGAAAGCAATTAAAAATGGTTGAGATATTCAGTAAATGTGCGAATAATCCAGAAATTGTGACAAAATGTGAAAGATGCAGCAAAAACATCAAGCGTTTTCAAGTGGTAAACTGTGTTTGGGATTAGGGCGAACTATATACATGTATATATGTATTCAGGGGGCGTGGCTGTAAGCTGCTCATGTGCTTAGCTCAAGTTTTGAGTTTTGGCTTTGGGTTTTGTTCGAGGCTTTGGCTGCGAAGTCACGTGGCCAAGTTTCAAAGGAACGCAGAAATTCTTGTTATTATTACAACTATTCTTGTTTTTTGTTGTTATTCTTAAGCTGCTGTTGCTGCTTCTACTTTCAGTTGTGCTGCATTTTGTTATTGTTATTATTATATGCCAACGCGAAATTATTTTGCTTTTGTTGTTGCATACTTTTTGGGGCGCCTGTTGAACCAGTTGATGCTGCCGTTTGCCATACAAAATGGCTGCCATTGCACAGGCTACACACACACAAAATGGCTGCCGGCTGCCAGCTAACAAAAGCAATTGCAGCATACATATACATATATATATATATTTATATACACGGGGCGTGGCTGTGGGCTATAATAGCAATCATTGCGTGCGTGGGCGTGTATTATACAAAGATCTATATCGTTGGGAAGTACGAGTAATTAATAGCTGCTGCGCACAAAGGCGCCTAAATACACACACATGCACAAACACACACATTGACGTTGTTGCAGCAGCTATTGTTGTTGTAGTTGGGCCCCAGTAATTAAAAGATTAATTTTTAATGTTCGCTTAGTGCAAAGCGGCGCTAGAGATTGAGCATTTCCCGCGGGCACATAAAAATAAAAGGATTTTAGCAACACACACACACACACTTACTACACCGTCCTCTTCCCACCCACACACACACACACACACACACACACACACACACATTGTAATTTATGCTCCATTTCAGAATTTTTTAAGCTGCCCAAACTGCAACTTTATGAAATACGTATTTTTTGCTCTCGTTCTAACCTAGCCTCTAATTTTCTTCTCTTTCCCTTTCCGTCTTTTCTCTATCTCTCTCTCTCTCTCCCTGTCCTTTTTCTCTATCTCTACCTCGCTCTCTTTTCTTCCCTTTCTCGCCACCCAACACCCAACTTGTTTTTCAGCATGGATTTTTTTTTTAATTTTTTATTAATACGCGCTCGAGTTTTCCGCCTCACTAACTTTTTCCTTGCCTCTTTTTTTTTGGAAATAATTTGCTTGCAGCTACAAATTAAATGTGCACACCTTTAAATTGTTAATGCAGTTTGGCATAAGCTTATTTCGTTTTTGTTTTCCTTTTTTGCCCCCCACTTGATTAAAAAATCAGCAGCAGAGCAGCAGCAGCAAAACGTACTCAATTGAATATTTAACAACAATATTAATATGCTTTAAAGATATATATTTGATTTGCTCTATACATTGTTTGCAGAAATGAAGAGCGCGTCGAAGCGCAATTCGATAGGTTTTTTTTATTTTTAATTGGCATGCTTTTTAAATTGATTTCCGCTTATCGTTTGAGCCAATTAGATGTCAGTAAAAACTGAAACATTAAATATTAAATCAACAAAAGTTGCTATTCAACGAAGTGTTATGTTCAAATTGATGAAAGTCTTTTATTCATTAAAAATGAGCTGACTAAAATATATAAATATTTTTGGTAGATTTTCCATAAATAATTGCGAACACAAAAGCATTTTAGATCAAAAGATGCGTCGAATTTGTTTAAAATTTTATTTACCATAATTTAATTAAATTTTATTTTATTTAGTTGTTAGTTTATATCGTTTAGGCAACCCGTCAAGACAAGTTTCAGTTATATAATACCCATAAATAGTTTTGAAATGTGCACAAAAACTTTTTCAATTTAGCTAAAATGTTAAACTAGCTCACTGAGAAGCCGCACTAAGCCTCAGCACAGCCTGAGCCACATTCTTCTAGTTCTTCAACTGTTGTTTAACAAACATTAATCGTAAATTCTCTGGTCGTTTCTCTGTCGCTTATCTGTCTCTTCTCAAGGCAACACTCCTTGTTATCCGTGTCAACAGTAGCCGCAGCAGCAGCAGCTTTTTCCTGTGCGTGCACTATCATTAATATTTGAGCATGTTTAAAGTAGCCAACACTTTTTTATTGTTTTTATTTTGCTTTTATTTTTGTTTACCAAAAAGTGTCGGAGACAAAGCGCGCATAATTAGCAACAATACAAAAGCAAGTAAACAACAAGCAAACGGGGCAGCAGCTGGGCAGCTAATTAGTGAGCCAAAGTGGGCGTGCCCAAAAGCCAGAAAGAGAGCGAGAGGGAGAGAGACTTAAAAAATGAAAAATAAAAAAAATCGGAACGTCGCTCAACCAAATAAACTTGACAAATTACACGCTCCGTTTGTGCCCCACCAAAAATAACTATATATAACAAAAAAAAAAAAAAATCAACTCAACCACTTTCCCGCTTACCAAATTGCAAAATGAGGCACACAGTACGACACACATTTGGTAATTGGATATAACAATAAACAAGTCAAAGGCAATTGCAATGTGCAACCACTGACCAGGTAATGTGTCTGTGCAAGGGAATTGTCATGTGTGCAACTGGGTGGCAATCACGCCGACGCTGGAAAGTGTCGACCCAAATGAAGCGCTTGCATGTGCGTTATTGTTGTGTTTGTCATGAAAGTTAACCAAGCGTATGACAACAAGAGCAGCAGCAACAACATCGACAACAACTACTTGTAAAAATCTAGTTGTCATATATATTAGGTCTATAATTTGTGTGTAGCTTTCCTTAAACATTAACTATAAACAACTGCCTGAACTAATAACCACAAAAATCTAAAACTTGATTAAACTGCGGTTAATGAGCCACTCACTACTAGACTCTTCTATCCCCCCTTGACCTAAGCCCTCTGCTCATGGGGCATATCAGCTAACGCAAGGTGTTGCACATGACAATTTTGTGGGTAGAGGCGCACCGTGACTTTGGTAATGGAGAAACGCGACAGGTTGAACCACAGCAACAAGATTCGATTACAACTGCGGGGGAGCAGGCCAAGTTAGGCTGGCTACTGATAAATGTTATAGCAATGAAATGCGGTTATAATAGATTATGAAGGTTCCACACAGACAAGCTGACACTAAGAGCAGCTGTGACGTTGCAAAATATTACTGGACAAAAACTGTGGTTATTTAAAATTATTCTGCATCCGATATAAATTTAAGAAAATCGGCATTAAATGACAAAGCATCTTAATTGTAGAAATTCTTAGAAGTTGTTCCTAAAATATAAATATTTAAAAATTATTTGCTAACATTTCGTAGTCATAAGAATACTTTCTTTAGAATTAAGGACATTTAATTTTAATTTTAAATATAAATAAGTTTTTAGCAAAAGTTTGCTTAATTACTTCAAGGCATAAGAATTTGTTTTCTCTGCACTCAACAAAAATATTTCATAAGTTTTTAAACATTTAAAAAAAAACTTTGTTTAACAAAAATTCACAAATATTTTTTTTTAACGATTGAGAATTATAAGAATTAAAAAATAAAACAAACAAGAAAATTTTTGAAAAATAAATATACCCTACAGCATTTGCATTGATTGTCAATCATAAAACTGTCAAAATTTTAGGTACTCGCAACCCTTTTGCTTTTAAATAATTCCCAGGCAACGGTAATATTTGATTAAAACGCACACTGCTTCGCATCGATACAAATTATGTTATGAACTAAAAAATACTTTAGATGACTACCATAAAAAAGTTCAAGTCAAAGAAGGTCTCCAATCAATACACACGTTACTTTGATGTCAAAAACCTATTGCGCAGCGACAAAACCTACAGGGTGGCCGATTGCACCAAGGCAATCGGATCACCAAAGAACAAGCAAACAAGAACTCAGACGACCCGGTCACCCGGTCGATCCGTCTCAACGACAATTCAATGGCAGCCCATTGGCAATGCATTTGTGGATGATGCAAGAGGCAGTCCATATTTGCTGCTCTCCGAGGACGATACGCTGGTCAATGAACACACGAAGAAAAGACGACGACAGACCACCTGCCATAATGTGTTGCATGAGCCACGTCTGAAGCTAGATCCAACGGGCATTGAGCCTCTGATACGCGGCATACGGATCAGCATTTGTGTTGAGCATACCCGCTTTCCACTGATCGCCAAGGTAACCAAGGGCATGGGCCTGACCCATGTGCCCGAGCATCGTCTCTGGAACGTGCAATGGTGCGATAATACGCCCCACTTTGATCTTTTAAAGAGCATGAAGCGCTTTCAGCAAATCAACCATTTTCCCGGCATGAGCGAGATCTGTCGCAAGGATTTGCTCTCGCGCAATCTGAATCGCATGCTGAAAATGTATCCAGGCGATTATCGCATCTTTCCCAAAACCTGGCTGCTGCCCACCGAGTGAGTACACACACACACACACACACACACACACATAGTTCTAGGCGAAATTAATCGAAATAATCGAAATTTCTATTTAGTACGTACGATGTGGCCGTTTATTTGAACAAACACAAGCGCACCTTTATACTCAAGCCATATTCATCGGGTCAGGGGCGTGGCATTTGGCTAACCAATAATCTGCGCTCTGTGGGCAGACAGGAGAAGCTCATATGTCAGTCCTACGTTGATAAGGTGAGTATGAGTGGTCAAGAGGGTATGCTGTTGAAGAGGTTTATTGCATTGAATATATGATATATATATCTCAATTTTACTTGATACAGCAGCAAGCATCTGGGCTTGTCTCTCCAACACACATCAGGGCTTTTCTTCAACAAGAATACTGCTTCACTCCATCAGGAAAAGTCGAGCAATTCTTGCTTTTAGTTTAGATATCATATATTTTGTTTACTTCTGTCATGTTATATACCCTTTCTTATTTTATATCATATCTTTTTATATGAGAATACGGCATTCGCTCACCAATAAATAGAATAAAATAAAAAATACGACATTTAAATAGCCTTTACCCCAGCTGTAATCAGTCTTAATTTTTCTTTCTTCAGCTATTCTCAAAAATTCAGCACAAACTCTTTCTCTAACAACTTGATTTCCTTTCATTTCGCAGCCCCTTCTTATCGATGGCTATAAATTTGATTTGCGTGTCTATACACTGGTTACCTCAGTGGATCCATTGCGCATATTTGTGTACAATGAGGGTTTGGCTCGTTTTGCGACGCACAAATACAAGCCCCCGGCACTGGGTAACAGTAATAACATGTTCATGCACTTGACCAACTATTGTGTGAATCGTCGGAATTCGAACTATGATGCGGGCAGTGGCAATGATGGTGGCTCCAAGCGCAAATTGAGCGCCTACAACAAGTGGCTCGTGGACCACAACTACAGCGTGGAAGAGTTCTGGGCAGCGGTGGATGATGCGATCATCAAGACTGTGATTAGCGCATGGCCGGTGCTGAAGCATAATTATCATTTGTGTTTCCCCAAGCACGACAAGATTCAGGCATGCTTTCAGTTGCTGGGCTTTGATATACTCGTGGATTGGAAGCTCAAACCGTACATTTTGGAGGTGAACCATACGCCAAGCCTATCCGGCGGCGAGCCCGTTGACTATGAAGTGAAGCGCCCGTTAATACGGGATACATTGAATTTAATTAGCACGCCGCTCGTCGACAAGGAGGAGATTATTCGGGAGGATCGTGCACAGCTTAGGGATCGTTTAATGAGGCAGCAGGCGCATCGGCGGCGCGCAGTCACACCCAGCAAGTCGGCGGTGACACCGCAAAGAGCCGCCGGTGGCGCTGACCTGAATCAGGCATGTTCCCTGGGCGCCTTGGCCCAGCAAATTGCCTGGGAGGAGAGCCATTTGGGCAACTATAGACGGATCATGCCGCCCACAAATAGCGATCGAGTCAACTATTATTTTAAGTTCTATAATCAATTCAAAGAGGTGTCCATGTTTAAGGAGAATAACACCAGCAAGGGTCGCATTCGTCTCAATCGTGAGCATTTGAAGCAACAGAAACTGCAACAGCAGCTGTTAACCGAACAGGATCAGCTGCGTCATTTGCGACAGCGCAAACAGAAGCTACAGCATATATTCCTGCAGAAGAATACACAGAATTTCTCGAATTTGCTCAAACAGAAGCGCATGGAGGCGCTGGCTATTGCCAAGGATATACATTTGCAAAAGGCTAGATTGTTGCAACAGAATGCGGGCAAGGAAAGGGTGGGCATTTGGCAGATGGTTGACAAGCAGCAAGTGGAATCGAATCAGGATATGGACACCAGTCCGGACAAAATGATATCAGTGGGCGCACGCATACGGCACAAGCGCAGCATGGCCGTCATCAAGTCCCATCGACGCTCACAACGCCGCCAGTTGCAGCGCCGAGCAAGACGCGCACGTCGCCTGGAACGGGAATCCCGCCTCGATGCCGAATTCCTGGCCAAGCATGCGGTTAACCATGCGGTCGGCGGACGTCTGCAAGCGGGCAGCTCTAAAATCATAAGCACCAGCTCCAAAGCAGGCCTCAACCAGCAACAGCAGCAGCAGATGCAACTGCAGTTGGCTGCCAGGTCCAAGTCCAAGCCCCGAGCCAAGGCTAAGCATAGGCCGGCTAGGAAAATCAAAAGCTCCGCCAAGTTAGCCAAGCAAGCAGTTTGTAACAAGGACGTGATGGATTGGATGCCGCAGCCAATCAATGAGGCCGACAAACAGCTGCAAGTCGAGTGGCGCACACAACGGACGGCGGCTGTCAATTGCGGGCAGTTCAAGGAGGTGGTGAGTAGACAGCTAGAGTTGGGTAAAATAGGGCAATGCACAATTCCTATCAGCTATATAATATACTAGTAGGAAGGTTATTTCATTAAAAATGATTTTTGATTTCGGTTACATTCAGACGAGAAAAAAAAACCCGAAATCATCCTAAAATGTAGAAATTCAGAAAAGCGTCTAAGGATCGAGCTGTATTTTGAAACGATTAAGCTTCTCTAAACACAATTTTCCTAAATGTTCGAGTATTTTTTAAAAAAGAAAAAAAAATCTCAATAATGGGTCTAAAAGTGTTAGCTCAAAAAGAAATTAGCCCTTTAAATGGTTTTTAAGACCTTTAATGGGGCAAAAGCAATATCTATGTATTTTTAAAAGTAGAAAAGTCAGAAAAGCTTTTGAAATATGCCAAGGATTCAGTATTTTTTTCATAACCATAAAAAAATGTATTTGATCTAAGAACTTTTTGTCTGGGCAGTGGAAAACGTAAAAAATATGTATGAAAACATCTTTTCTAGGCTATAAAAACTTAGCCCAACAATGAAATATAGAGGTTCGAGAGAGAGGGTAATCTCTTCGCGGCTATAAAAAGCTCACTCAATAAGGTTTTACTAATCAAATGAAAAATATATAATATTTTGTAGCTCTTCCATGAAATGTACGAGCGTGGTCATCTTACCAAAAATGATATTAAGCAATTCCCGAATCTTCTTTATCGCATACTACGAGACGAAATAAATAAAGATGCGAGCGTTGGAGGCGACTAAGCACATAAGAAGCGTGCTCTTTAGAAGATTCCCCAAACATATCCCCCATTTGGTTCAACCGACATTTGTTTTTATATTTTTGTACTCACAAATTCAAACTGTAAGGTCAATCATACCATAAAAACTAAATTCTTTTATTATAATGTCCACCTTTTCTTAAATTTTCAGCTTTTTTCCTAGCCGAAGACATTAAAGCAATATATGGTGGAGAGACCGAATTGTTCCCAATGTTTGTTGATCGAACTGAAGTAAAATGAGCTCCTATCGGGGCTCTGGTGGTTAAATGGAAGCATTTATAGTAATGGGGAAAAACATTAAAAAAAAAAAAAACTACGGAAAATGGAGGGAAAACTATACTCAACAGTCATATAACAAAACAATAATATGTCAAAATTATAGTGTATATAAAATAATTGAGCAATAGCACTCAGTCAATAATTATATTATTTAATTATTCAATATAACTGAACAACTAAAAAAAAATAGTGTTATTCATATATATTTAAATGAAATGTTTTGGAGGTTTAATACTCTTTACAGATTATATGTCAATTATATAAAGCGCATTTTATTGTGAGTAAATAATTGATACAACATTTTTCGAGTGAGCATAAGCTCGACATTTCCATAGTGATAAATGTGGCCTACATTTCTATAGTACTTGATATGGCTTGATTTTATTTGTAGTCCAACAAATATTCACCTGGATTGACTTTGCATTTTCAAATATTTAAAAAGCGCACATATCTAGCTATTCAGCCTCATACATAAACCATTCGCAGCTGTTACTTTACTTTGCAATTTTCATTCAAAAATATAGTTTTTCAAACACACCCCCCATCGATTTGTCAAAGTGCTTGGCAAAGAGAAAAATAAAGCACATTCTAAAATACGACATGGCCTCAAACTTCAATAAGCTAACCCCAGCCCGTGCCTGTGCCACAGCCCCAAACATCTTGAGCTTTGATGCTGTCGCATGCATAAACAAAATGCAACACAATACGCGACGACTCGCAGTTGCATGCAGCTGGGGGTTTAAAGGGGGCAGCGCAAAGGGCATCGAGTTGAGTATGCTTGGTTTGGTATAGTCTTCAAACTTGCATTATTGAAAACTGCACGGATACGCTTTTAGCAGCCGTATGCAAAGCAGCAGCCACCATTTTTTTTTTTTCTTTCTTTTAACTTGCAACAGCCACAGCCGCCAGCAAATCGCGGCGGCTGCGGCGGCGGCGGCGGCGGCGGCGGCAACGTCGGCTGCTGCCAAAGGATCTGCTTTGGGTTTACGGTCTATGCTCTATGGTCTATGGCTTTAGCTTTGGCTTTAGACGTCAGCGCGTGTCCTGCGTCCTGTTCTTTTTTTCCCTGCTCACCATGTGTCACATATTGAAAATTGTGCAGCTGTCGTCGTCGTCGCTGCATTCTGGCGCTGACGCGTTTCGCTGCCTGCCTTTTGGCCAATACAACGCTCTGATAAGCCATTTCAAAGAGGTTTTACATATGCCAAGCCGCGTTTGCTCAAACCCTTGCTCAACGCATTGTGGCAGCTTCTGCTGTTGCACACGCTTAATATTTGATTGAACATTGTTGCGCTTGCTGCTAATACTTTTATTGCATACTGTGCAGCTGCTTCATCTGCTCCATTTGTTGTTGTTGTTCTTTTTGTGATCAGCTTAAAGTTCAAGTTTGCTCGCTTAGCAGCTAAAAGTTTTCCCTGCCACCACTTTTCCACATATGCAGCAAAAATTTTCCTTTTGATGCTTTTAGTGTCGTCTTATTAAAAACTTTTTAATCTTATCTCCGCTGCTGCTGCTGCTGCTGATGCTATTGCCCCCTCCACCACCCCTCGACAGCTGCTTTTTGTTCCCTGATAAGCTCTCGAAATTCCTACCATCTATTCCTCAGTCTCTGCCTCTATTCATCTTGCTCTCCATCTATAACAAAGCTGCGGAAATGACTGAAGCATTGCAATGGCAAAAGTTTAGCCCGTCGTACACTATGCTCTCTTTTTGGCATGTTCGGCTGTGTCTCCATGTGTGTACTTATGTGTGTGTGTGTCTGTCTACATTGTTGACAAAAGTTCAGGCTGCTATTAGAGGTCGTTTAGCTTGTGATTAGTTCAGCTAAGTCAGTCTCTTTGCTCAAGCTTCCTGCCTACTTTGCAAGTTTTCCAAGTTCTTTAGAATTCGGAAATGTCTCAATTTGAAAATGCGCAAAAAGAAACAAATAAAACGAAACTTTAATCACATTAAGGGTTTTAACTTTTAAGTGTTTTAGCAGATGTTTTTCGGCAATAAGCTGTCGTAGCGCATTGAATCTTTAAATAAGAAGTTCTACCCACCAATATGACAGACTATCGTAACTCAGCCAAGACTCAAGCAAATCTCTTTAACTTGGCAACACGTTAAAGTATATCAAGCAAACTTTGATGACATGAAAAGAACATAGTATCTACCTACTAACCTATTGAGCTGAGCCAAAACGCAAGCTATATTCAGCGCAAAAGTATTATTTAACTGGTTATCAATAAGCATCATAATATTAATCCACGCACTAGCGCTTCGTGAAAACTCTTTCAGTGAAAACTCAAGATATATGTCTGCAACTTGTCAGCCAGATTTCTCACATCCGTCACCTTTCATTTCTTTAAAAATTACTCAAGTTGCCAGCATTTTTATGCATATTCTTTTGGCATATATTTATTAAGGTGTCGCCTTTGCAGAATATTTGCTCGTCTCGTATAACACATTTTCCTTATCAGTCATAAAGCGTAATGTGCACTTAATCTTCATTTGCACTGGGACAACATTACGACACAGCGCCTGCGAAGTGCATGCAGACAGAGACATATAAGAATTCGGGTAAGTGTGTGTGTGTGATGGGGAGTGGGAGCATGGATTACTTCAGTTGCAGAAGCCTTTTAATTTGTGCCATAAAGGCAAGAAGGAATTGCTTAATTCCATGACAAACACTCGCAGCAGCGTGAGTGCATATAAAGGATATGGCCCAGGAAAGACAACTCTTCCCTGCCAGCATCCAGAATCCCACGGCGATGACTTGAATCAACAAAAGATTTATGCCAGACAGAGAAAAGGGACTGAGCAGAGGGGTGTGTGTGTGTGTGTGTGTGTGTGTGTGTGTGGAAAAAATCTACAAACAGGCCAGCCGTATATAAATCCGGCAAGTCGGACTTAACGCAACACTGAGTACAGCATCAACAACAACAACAACAGTAAATCTGTAAGGACGAAAATAATGCCCAGCAAAAAGTCAGTCAGTCAGTCAAAGGACGGGAGGCGGGGCGGGGCAGCACTTGAGGGGTTATTTGGAAAAGCTGTGACAGCTTTTGCTTTTCCATTTTTTTTTTTTTTTTTGCATGCGAATTAACATGTCTGGCCTGACTGAAGCCTGTGCTATATATCCCTAGCTATAGCCCTAGCTATAGAGACCAATTGTATGTATATAAACCGCTATGAATGTATTTATGTATGCATGTATGTATGCATGTATGTATGTATGCATGTATGTATGTATGCATGTAGGTATGTATGCATGTATATATGTATGCATGTATGTATGCAATTCTGCATGTATGCATGAAGACACGCATGCATGTAGAATGTCTACATGTATGCATGCTGCATGTATGCATGCAGACATGTATGCTATATACATATGAACATGGATGCATGAATGTATGCATATGTGTATGCATGTATGTCTGCATATATGTATGTCTGACGACTGGCACAAATAATTTGCAGTTTTACAGTTTTTCAGCGCTTTTATGCTGCATGTTTTCCACTTCACAGGATTTTATGTGCCACACTACGCTCAGCTCAAGTGTTGGAAAATACAATTGCCAGCACACATGCCACATACACTGAGCGAAAAAAAAACACGTTTCCGCATTTTTGTTGTTGTTATAGGTTTTTTTTTTTGCTACTGCTGTTGCTTTTGTTTGTGTTGTGCCGCCAAATGTTTTGCCTTTGCTAAAAAGACAAACTGTGTCAGTGCGGGCCAACAAAAGTGTGAATATGCGTATCATGTATACCCTGTGCAGCAACAGTGTTGGGCATATTTGTGAGGATGCATCTTACGTTAAGTTGTAATGTACATTTTCCAAATGGGTTCTTCATATGAAAGTGAAAAACGTATTTAAAAATACAGAGCTTTCTTAAATTTCGATAAAGCCAAAAACCTTGAAAACCCTTTAAAATTGTCTACAGCTCATGGTTTAATGCTTTAATTTTACAGGGCATTTAAAAATTCACCTGAATTATGATTTACTTAAGATTCTTAAATGCACATATATGTAACTGCAGTCGTTTTCTTCAATCTGTAACTGAGCTGGGCCTAAAGTTTTTTTTTGTTTGCAGCATGGCAAACACTTGACTACTTTATGCATTTTTTATGCTTTTTTGTTGCAGTGTTTTTTTGTAATTGTTGTTGACTTTGTTGTTGTTGTTGCTGCTGCTGCTGCTACAGCTGCAGGTTGTTGCACGTCTAACAATGCACTCGAGCTAAAAACTCAGCTACACAAATGCTTAAGCGAAATCTGTATGTGTTTGGGCTATTGCTTATTTGTTGTCGCTTTAATGTCACACAAATTCTAGTTGAAACCCAATATATATATATATATATATAGATGTATGTCCAGCAAGCCACAGAGCGAGCAGTCCCCAAGTGTTCACAAAAGACACAGACACACACACGTGCCGCAAAGCCAATGAAAAATCCTCTATAATAAAAAATAACAACAACTTGAAGCGCCCTCAAGCTGCCACTTCTTAAGCACGCCAAAGAGGCAACAGTGTGGCAAATAACTGTTGTCACACCAAAGACCATACACACACACACACACACACACACATCTAACTATACATATATATTTATAGATATATGTGTGTATATATCTCCTTGTTGAGCTCTGCTCAAGTGTGTGACAAGTTTTTGCAGCCACTCACAACAAATTGCCATGGATTTCAGTTTTTCATCGCCTTGCCAAAAACTTTGCTACCAAATGGCTTAAAAAGTGTAATGGAACTATAATCGACAGGCAAATACCCTGTAAAAGAAAATCTTTACATACACAAGTGTGCACACACTTTAAACTAACTTTTGCGATATTTTCCAACCTCAGATTCTTTCCTAAAAACATATTCCTAATATACCAAATATTCAAGACTGATTCTGAGTTCACACAGAAAGTTTAATATACATAATTCGAGCTACCGTCGGCTCATTCTGTATCTATAACAAGCCCCTTTTTGGCAAACACTTTATGATTACAGGGTATACATAAAAGATTGTGTGCTTTAAGGCTCAGACTAGGAATGAGCAACAACAATGGCGACAATAGCAACACAAGATGTTTAGAAATATAGTATATGAAATTAAAAATGATGTACATAGTATATATATATATATATAATATGTGTATATAATAATTTTTGTGTGTACTTACAACTGTGATGGGATAGAAAGGATTTATGATGGTGAAGAGTAGAATGTGATTTGGCCGTGTAGTCTCAGGACGCTTTCTCCTTAGGTCGTCGTTTGACTTGTTCAGTAGTGCTTGCTGCTGACTCTGATTTTGTGTGGACTGTAAATAGTAATATATATATATAGATATATAAGTATTTGATATAAGTGTGAATGCAGGTTTATTAGGTTTATATAGTAAAGCTAACAAATAAAAAGACAACATGTATGCATATAATATACATTTAGATATATCTCGGTGCTCCGATTTAGTTTATTTTGACTCAAAACATAATAAATTTCGTATATACAAAATTACAAAATTGAAACTAAATTAACGCATGTGCCTCAAACTCCTTCGTCACATAGGTGCCCAGCAGAAAGATGATTGAAGATTTAAAAACCATGCGATAAAAACTGTTCCGATTTAGAATTTTATATATATTCGAGCCAATTGCTTTACACTGGTCCACATAATTAAGAAAGCTGCAATAGTTTTGCGATTAGACGAGGTGAACAGGAGAAGATTTTCTTTATTTAATTATTTACCGCGTTACAGCGAACATCGTGGCTTGTTTTTATTTACTTTATACTTTCTTGTTTGTTTTTTTTTTTTGTTTGAAATTTTGCACAAATACACTTACGCGTTAGCTTAAATTTTCTGAGTAACTGAACAATTTTCGTTTGTCTTTGTTTGAACATGTACTTAAACGTGACTTGTAAATCGTAGCATTGGAGATTTCAAAATATTTTCGTTTGACCTCACAGCTCATAAAATCCAAATACTTTTATACTTTATACGCATTCCTCAATTCAGTTTTCTCTCAACTAAGAAATCAATGCATTAAATGTCTTTGGCCATTAGTTGCCAGACCTCATGTCAAACCAGCTGCCCGCTCGCTGACTGCCTGTCAAATGCTGTGCACAACACATTTTCAATGGCCCAAAATGCAAGTTGAGCCAGCTAAAACGAATTGATTTTTCAGCTTTTCAAATTATTTTCGACTTAAATGCTGTTGGCTATTTATTTGTGAAAAATTCAAGTCAAAATAAAACAAAGTTTGCGCATAAGTTTTTCACGTTAATTGACGCTGTCAGCGAAATGCGTGCAAAAATAAAACCTAAATAATAATAATAATAATAATAATAATAAGTAAAATAACAGCAACAAAAAGTAGGGCTTTCGATTGTTGTTGCGGGCTCGCATAATTTGTTTGAGGGGACTCTATAAATAATTGCGGAATTTAGGTAAAACATGTACATGTCACGTTCAAATGTCAATCAACGCTTGCGAGTTGCACCGCCAGGACGGACGGGCGCAAGAGGCAAACATTTTCAAATTTCGCAGGTGAGAAAAATGCTAGTACGCTGTTGTTGCACATGCAAGAGAAACTAACGTGTGGGAGAGAGCGTCAGGTGAGGTGAGGCAGGAAGTGAGGTGTGTTAAGTACACATGGACAGGTGGCGGCTGATTGGTGGAGCCGGCGAAGCTTGTTTTTGGCCTCATAGACTTGACACCAAAATGCCAGACATGCGCCGATATTCGCGCTAATTAACTGGGGCATATGCCAGGAAATGCTGAAAATGTAGCTGTACATGAATGTATATTTGCTCACGTGAAGCTGCTGCCATTTTGTATACCCTGTATTGTAACTAGAAAATGAAATAATCAAAATAAATGACAATTCCAAAAGCTCATAAATGATAGCGCACTTAACCAGCAAAGTTATGCCAGCATTAAGGGTCTAGGCCTTCTTTAAAATACCCTAGACTATGGCATAGAAATATAGAAAATCAGAGGAAAATAAATAGAGAGACCAACATTCTGAAAATGAGTTATATCTACCTCTAGCTAATTTCCTTTCATTTTATCTTATCTTTTTCGAAAAGTCATGTCAGGAAATGTATGACTATACTATACACAGGATCATTTTTGTAGTCAATCTTCACTTACTTTCAATCTTTCTGAAAGCAAAAGACTTGCTCACTTATTTCCTTTTAACTTTCATGGCAGCTAGGGTATATCAAATACTTGCTTTATCTTATTTTCTTTAGTAACTATTATTTAAAAATAGACGCGTAGTACTTAGTATGGATAAGATACAAATCAGTTCCTATGTACACACTACATACACAAACGGAAGGTTTATGCCTGCATGGGGTTCACAGCAGATCCTAGGGTATCCTAAGAGCCGATTTCATTTTCTCTAATTAACATATGTTGTTTATTACCCTCCGTTAATATCAGCTCGTAGGGTATTAATATTATATCAATATAATATTGATCACTTGCGTACGCCTAAAATTTGGGGCAACCTAAGGTTCGTATCAGATTCTAAAATATCTTTAAGAAACGCATCATCTCATATTTCCTAACTAATTGTATTAATTTTTTATCGAACCGTCCTTTTATGTTAGATCCTAGGGTATCTTTAAGATTCCTTGCCCGTCTAATTTTTTCTATTTGTATCTTTTTTTATGCATGTAATGCAGTTCTTGCATAACATTTATTTATTTTTTTTTTTTCCCTGAACAGCAATTCATTAACTAATTAGCGTTTGTCTTGATTAACTTTCCAACACCATTTTTCAGCTCCTCCAGCGTTTGCTGATTTTTGTTTTCCGCTGTTGCTGTTGCTGCTGTTGCTGCGACTTTTGATGCCACTTTCACGTGTAATTTTTTGGCTTTTTATTTTAGTTAATTTACTGCATTTTTCACAACATTCCCGCCAGCTCGAGTCGAGCTCACTTAACCTTTCTTTTTAACATATTATTTTATTTTATTTTTTTGCGCTGCTTTTAAGTAGCTCCCAGTTGAAGTTTTGGTTTCTTTCCCTGGGCTTGCAATTAGGTTAATGGATCGCTGGCTGCTGCTCTGACGCATTCTTAACCACCCAAAGCTGTAGCTTTAATGAGCCAAAGGGTTGAGCACGAGCTTCACCTTAATATCACGCGGGGCTATCCTAAGGTCACGAGCGAGCTTGTAAATTGCTCAAATTAATTGACATACTGACAGCTATGGCTCACATAACGAAGCAGTTGAGTATTTAGGCAGCGTGTTCTGCAGCTTGTCAATTGAATTTCTTAAACTTCGACAAGGATTGTGTAAAGAGAAACAATCGGGATATTTTCATGAAATAGTGTTTTAGCTAATTTTATAATTGAGTTTTTAAAGCCATCACTCGAATTATTTATAATAAATATTATGTTGTTACAACTCCAGGTTACTCAAATTTTTATTTCGATTTTATTATTAATCAATCTGAATAAAAAATTAATTTTTTGTAATGAATCAATTTTCTAAAATAGATTTTTTTGCAAATCAATCTTAATATTTTTAGCAATTGGTTTTAGCTAATTTTCTCATGAAGATCCTAAATGAAACCAATTGAAAAATGTGTAGAAATAATTTATAGCTAATATTTTTAGTTAGGAATTGATCACAATATTTCTAGAAATAGCTTAGAGCCAATTTTCTAATTCAGATTCCGTAAGAAATCAATAGGAAATTGTATAGAAAAAGATACAGCTAATTTTCTAATAGTTCTCGTAGTATTTTGGAGATTGATATGTACACATATTATTCCTTGAGGATACATGCATTATTCCTTAAGGATTATACATGCTAAACTCTTTAGATGTAGTATACATAGCTCTTTGACTCTCATTAAACAACAATTTTTGTTTAGTTTCATTTAGATATCTCACAAGAAGCCTCAAGTACAAAGAGTTTATCATGTGCCGCACAGCATAACGAACTATCATTATTGGCAATTTTCGAATATTTCCACACACACAGAAATTTCCCAATGAGCCCACAAAATATGTATTTACCTTGTAATATAATCTAGCAAGCGTCAAGCAGCAGCGCGAGGGGTTTCAATCAAAAAAAAAAAAAGGAGAAGTAAGCAAGCAAGAACAAAAAATCTCAAACGCTCTTGACGCACAATTTGTATGTTGAAAAGACCAAGGCGAGTCTAGAAAACATTTGTTTTCTGTCAAATTTGCCTTTAATAATAATAAAGATCATATATTTTGCTGTGCGCACAACGCCCACCCGCAAGGAGAAGACGACGTTGACACTGGAAACTGTTGATTAAATTACAGAAAGAAAAAAAAAAGAATTTAACTAAGTGGAAACTGTAAGCGAAATGATTGATGGATGTACGCCTGACCGGGTTTGGGCTTAAGTGCATGGCAAGGAAAAAAAAATATGATTTCAAATTTGATTTTGTTTTATTTATTCTCAATTTTTGTTTGCGGCTGCTATTCGAAAAGTTGTTCTATTCGTAATTTGGTTTTCCTTTTCTATTCTGAAAAGCATTTGAAACATTTCTGGCACAACGGCGCGAACGATTTGAAAATAGCCGCGCGGACGGTCGCCGCGACGGTGTCGCGGCTGCATACCACGGCGCATTTCAACTCGAACCGCAACGAAATGAAGATGAATTACCCGCGAGCTATTCGCCTAGGGTCTGCAACGACAGACAGACGGACATATGGACACACGAATTGTCGGACGCACTCTATGTGACGGGGAACAGAGCAGTGCAAATAAGTTTTGCATCGAGCTAAAAAAGATTTTGCACTCACAGTTGATCAAATGGTCAACAAAAAAACACGCTATAAAGTGCACGGCGACATATCCAACGGATACAGCTAAAAAGATACAAATACAAGCGACAGCTAAAGATACAGATACATTTACAATATGCTTAAATGCATCTTTGCCAAGAAATTTAAAAGAAAAGCAAAGAAAACTTGCGTCGAGTTGAGTTGCAAGTTGAACTGCAGCAAGTTGAATTGCGAAACCTCACAGATAAAGAATCGAGCCAACATAAATAGCCAAAGATATATGGGCAAAGAGTCGGTCTATCATGCTGTCAGTGCGCTTGATGTATTGACATTCATCAAACTGACTTGGAGAATATGCAGAGATCTATATAGATCTATATATTGATTTATAGACGGCACATGAAAATTGCGAGGTGCAAATTATTTATGGGCGAAGTGCGAGAAACGCATTCGATGAGAAACAAAAGGCAATCATTATAAACCTGAGCTGAACAAGAGTTTACAGATTATATTTATTTATTTATTTTTTATTTGATTATGTTCATTC